GCGACGTCGGCGTGGAGACCATCGGGCCCCACATCGAGCCGCATCGTCAATACATCGGCGATGCGGTGCAATCCACCGACCCCATCTGCTCGATCACCTCACTTCGCTCATCGAGCTCCGCGATGCGCAACTATCTTCGCGTCCTCACGAGGCGACCTTGTAGAACTGCGCCTCACCAACCCAAGCCGCGATGCGCAACGCGCGATTACCTTAGCGCCCCCGGGGGTGACCTGGATCTCGTTCGACCCCATCTGGACGGCCTGGATCTGAGCGCGAGGGGGATGGCGATCCTCTGCCGCGCTGCCCGTAGGACGAACAAGCTGCATAAACATACTCCAGATTTCGTGATAAAAGGGAGGGGGTCTGGACCCTCCAAGACAAGCCATTTCAGACCTCCCCCGTGGGAGAACCCTCCAAAACATCGTCCCCAGACCCCCCAGGCCCTCCAAGGTAGCCTGGAAGAGACCCCCCCCGAAATGAGACCCCCCTCCCTTTGTTACGAAATGAACATGAGCTGCCTGAGGTCCGCACGGATTTCCTGGATCGGCGCTGTGCACCCCTCCCTGGCGCGCCGGGGGCGGCGCTGGAGGCGCCGCCGAGGGTGCCCGGCGCCGCTCCACTAGGGCTCCCAACTTCGCGCTTCGCGCTGCGCGAAGCGCGAATAACTTCGCGCTCTCGCGCCGCCCTCCCAAAGGGAGAATAGGAGGACGAGGAGGAGGGGGAGAAGGAACGAGGACCGCGAAGCGCGAATAACTTCGCGCCCTCGAGGGAGCCCTTGCCGCTCCAAGAGGTCCCTGCGGAGCTCCGATCTGTTCGTGGCGTTCGCCTGTTTCGAAGGCCGCCGCCGCGCTCCCGCGCAGAGCCCGTCGCGTCTCCGCCCCTCCTGCGCAGAACCTCTCTGGGGCCTGCTGGGCCTGCTCCGGGACTTCCCGCGGAGGAGGAGGAGGAGATGGAGGAGGAGGAGGAGGAGGAGGAGGAGGAGGAGGAGGAGGAGGAGGAGGCGGAGGCGGAGGAGGAGGAGGAGGAGGAGGACGGATTGCCTAAGCCTTTCGGCAAGAGAACCCTCCACAGAACCCCCGACACCATCCATCTGCGGCATGCTTCGAGCGTCCCCCGCTCTCCCAAGAGGAGATGGGCCGAACTCCGCGCAGACATCGGGACCCCTAGCACACGCAGCCTGGTCTTGCATCGCGCGGCAGCCGCGTCATACTGCAGACGAGTGATGAGTTTTCGAGCGGCAGCGGTTATCCCACTGCCCTATCGTGTCGCTCCCCTGAGCACCGCTTCTCCGACCCCCGTCCCCAGCCACGCTGGCGGGATGTAGGCTGTTCCCTTCGGGTTTCGAGGGGTATATCCACACTTATAGGCGACGAGCCCAGGGGGGAAATGAGAAGGAGATGGCCTTCTCAGAAGGCCGCGGGACTTCTTAGAAGTCCGGGGGGCTTC